TTTTTTTATCTCTGTTTCTTCTGCTTGGTTGTTTGTGTATAAGACAGCCTCTGACTTTTGTGTGTTAAATCAAAAGAATTTTTTAAATGGATGAGATAGAACTTAAACAATGATACGAAAGAGGCCCAGGATCTGGTGCTGAGGGGAAATCAGGTTGCAGACTGGGATGTACATGTGACTACATGTATGTGGGCTTCCGCAAGTGTTTCTATGTGTGAGTGTCCTAATACATGGAAAAAGTCTAGGTAGTATCACCAACATCCGACAGAGGTAGTCTCTGAACAATGAGAGGAAATGAAAGACTTTTCATTTTTATTTTCTGTCACTCCACAGAATTGAATTTGTTTTAAAATAAAGTTTGTTTTAAAACTTTTTTAAAAGATACTGGTAACAACTAACTCATCCTGCCCCCAGTTCCAGTGTCTCGCCCTGTGCTCACCATCAGAACTCCCGGCGCCCAGGCTGTGGAGGGGGACCTGGTGGAGCTTCACTGTGAGGCCCAGAGGGGGACGCCCCCTATCTTGTACACGTTTTATCAAGAAGACAAGACCCTGGGGAGCATCTCAGCCCCCTTCAGTGGAGGAGCTTCCTTCAACCTCTCCCTGACTGCAGAACATTCTGGAAACTATGACTGTATGGCCAGCAATGGCCTAGGGGCCCATCGCAGTGAGAGAATGTGGCTCAGTGTCACAGGTAAGCTTGACCTTCCAACTGCCACACACCTGAAACCTGGAGATCCCATAGGAGCCCGGGGCAACACGGGGCCATTTTCTCAGTGACATCACAGCAAACCTGCTACCTGCATGACCTCCATCTTGGAGTTCTGGATTCGACATTTTGAGAAACTCGCACCTTCCTTTGCTTGTTGTGTCTTTCCTAGTAGCAACCCTGCAATCCACTGTGACCAAAAGTTCTCTAGTATAGAAGTAACCATAAACTCCATCCTAGTCAGCAATGATCGTGATGTAAAGGGAGTGCAGACAGTATTTCACCCAGAAGCTGTCTGTCAGCCGGCTCCTCCTGCCCCTGCCCAAGGCAGCTCAGGTTCCCACCCACAACCCTTGCTAAGCAGCTCCCAGCCTCATTCCCCTGCCCCTACATGCCCTTGTTCTGTTCATCTGTGGGCCTCTTTCCCCCTTGGCCCCACTTGCAACTCGTCGCCTCATTCACCCTTCCTCTCCACTTCACACGCTGCCATGACTCCCCGACTCTAATGTCCACTCCCCTCCACACCCGCCACGTGCTCCCACACACACACCCTCCAGTTACCGGACCACAGCCTCCCACCCTTCCACTCGCTTCCTCAACGTCTCCAATCAGTATGGTTCTCAGACATCAACAGAGCTCCCCATTCATTAACATCACTCTCTCCAGACCAGGACACCCTTGGCTCCCACACCAAAGCCAGTGTGCTGCTGTGTGGCCTAGAGGCCCATCCCCCCTTCCTCAGGTGTGGAGGAGAGGACTCTGCTCCCTAAGAAGGTGAAAATCATGGGTTCTCTGGCCCCTTCCTATCAAATTCAAACTAAAACCAAATGCCCCTTTTCCACATTTCCCAGCATCTCCCATGCTGTAGCATCCTTTCCAATGACACTTCACATGCTCTCTCTTCCCTAAGAAAAGCCCCCGTCAATGATGCTCTAATCACTAAACCCCTAAGAGAGTGTCTGATCTCCTCGTCACCCACTAAGCTTTATTCCAGGCTTCCTTCCGACCTCTCCACCAAAGTGATCCGCACACAGCTCAGCAGTACCTCCAGGACTTTAGTCCAAGGCCCTGCTCCAGTCTTCATCTTATCTGCTCACAGAAATGGCCCATTTTCCTACCATTTCTTCCGTCTTGGCCCTCTCTTCTCCAGCTTCAGGGCATCCACCTCTCCCAGCTATCTTCTCTCTGCCTCCCCTTCCTCGTTTCCTTTACTGGGTCCTGCTTTTGTGGACAGACTCTAAACAGTGCTGCATTCCAGCATTGTCCTGAATGCTCCCTCATTTCCTATCTATCTACAGTCTTGCTCTGAGTTCTCGTGGGATGTCATCTGTAAATACTCCCTGGATATGCCATTTCTCCACTGAAATGTCTCAAGATTTCATGTTCCTGAGTCTCTCTAAGACTGAACTCATGGTATTTCCCCAGACTTGTCTCTCTGCCATCTGTCTTTACCTCTGTGAGAGACACCTGTAGATCTACCCAGGTATACAGGCAAAACATCAGGAGTCTTCTTTGACATTTTTTTCCCTTGCTCTTCATAGCCAGTTAAAGTAGATTTTATTCCTAAGTATTTCTTGACTACTTTCTATCTCTATCAACACAACAGAATCAAACCCACTGTCATTTCCATGACTGCAATGCCACCTACTCTCAACTCCACTTTGTACCACTGCTTGAAATAAAAACAGTGTTTTAAAGACAAACATGATCATCTCCTGCCCTGTGTGGGTACAAAAGGAGCTTCCTCTTGCTCTGTGGAAAAGGGCCAGCACCTTTGAGTCCATGAAGCCCTATTAGCTCTCTACACATTAGCCCCAACTTGACTCTATGTGCTGCTGCCACCTTGATTCAATAAATCAAAAGTTCCAACCTTCATGCAAGCTCAAGGCCTTTGAGCATGTTGCCATTCTGGCATCTGCTTCACTTCCCTTCCAGCTGGCACCTTCTAACTCTCTTTTTATGGGGAAGCACCCCTGCATAATCCATACTGTTTCGAGTCCTAGCATTATAGATCACACAGCAGTATTTTCTTATATCACTTATCAATGCTTTAATTCTATATTTGTGTTTTTACTTGATCACAGCTTATCATCTCTAGATTGTAGAGATGATAGGTTTTTATGATATCTGGACTTTGTCTTTCTTGCTACTGAATCCTCAGCCTATAGTGCATTTCCCAGGACTTAATTATTTTTACTCAGTCTTTGATGATAAATATGAGAATAAGCAAGTATCTTGATCACCCCTCATTCACTCTGGGCCACATTTCTGAAGTGTCCCTGGCAATGGAAGCACCAGGTGTCTTCTGTTCCCCATTTCCAATTGCACCAATTTCTCTTTTCTGTAATTATTTTATGATTTCTTAAACAACTGGGTTTCACTTCAATTTTTGCTTTCAGATCCCCCAAACGTATTTGAAATTGCTTACCCACACACTCTGAACTATAAGTAGCACTGCACAAATGTTATTGTTCTTTCAACTCTGAAGGAATTAGAACTGAATTCTGAGTGACATCACATGGTCCTTAAAAATTAAGAAAAATATTTTTCTGTTTAAAAAGTTCTTATTAAGGAGGAACATTTTTAAATAGCAGGAACTGATGATAACTATTTTTCTTCTCCAGTTCCAGTGTCCCAACCTGTTCTCACTCTCAGGGTTCCTAGAACCCAGGCTGTGGTGGGGGATACGGTGGAGCTTCACTGTGAGGCCCAGAGCGGCTCTCCCCCGATCCTGTACTGGTTTTACCATGAGGACATTTCCCTGGGCAGCAGTTCAGCCCCCTCTGGAGGAGGAACATCCTTCAGCCTCTCTCTGACCACAGAACATTCAGGAAGCTATACCTGCCAGGCCAGCAATGGCTTCAGGGCCCAACGGAGTGAGGCAGTGACACTCAGCATCACAGGTGAGTTGGCCCTGCCCCCAGCAGCACAGGCAAAAGCTCCTGTTCTCCTGCTTAGCTGTTACAGAGCCTCTGTTCCTGTGGTTACAATCTCAGGGACCTGGACCTTCCCAGCTACGCAGTTCAGTCTTCTTGAATATGAGAAAAACAGGACACTAGGAAGGAATGTACAAAACACCCTCTGAGATATGTAGAGTCAATACAGATTGATATCCCTAGCCTCTCCTGTCTGTGGCCCTGGTGTCATAAAGAACAGAGAAAAGGAAGCGAGAGCAGGCTCTAGGGATGTTGGCCCAGGATCCAGCATCTCATCAAGATACCAGTGCAGTTAGAGCTGTGGTAGCAAATCTGATTCCCCCCTCCCCCCGACTCAGCCAGTTCATTCTTCTCTCCCCACTGGCAGGCAGCCCCATCTCAGCCACTTTCCTTCTGCTGTTCACAGAGACTCTGCCCAGGTAGTTTACATGCTTACCACTAGCTCCACCACACAGGTCTGCCACTAGCCAGGTGCTACTTCAGCCTCTTCATAGCACTGCGAAGCAGCACACCAGCTCCTGTCCTCCCTACTCATGACTTTCCACTTTTCTCTATTTCTCCCTTTCTGTGATTCCTTGATACTAGTGCATGTTATTTTGTCCTGCTGCTATCACACCTACAGGACTAGATTAATTGTGTCTGAGTTCTAGAACTGAGACATGGGTCATGGAGAACAGGAGCTATCAAAACAAAGGATTATTTCTCTTCATCATCATCACTATCACCAACACTACCATCATCACTGACTGAATCCTTGGCCAGGCCCTGTGTTAGTTCTTGACACACAGTATCTCATTTATTTAAGAGAAACCAGAGAGGATTAAAATTAGACCATTTTAGGCCCTTCCTGGTGGTGCAGCGGGTTAAAGCACTGCACTAAGAAGCTTAAGCCACTTCCGCATGAGCTTAAGCCACTTCCGCATGAGTTCGATCCCCGCCTGCCCCGGAGGTGACCACATGGCGCGGCAGACCTCTCCTGACCCGCCCGCTGCTCCCCTCAGCAGTGTACTTCGTGGATCTGCCTGTTCTGCTCCCCACTCTGTCCCTGGTGAATCTTCTCACCCTCCGCATCTCTGACCTGTGTATCCCAGTTCTGTATGAATTAAAAAAAAAAAAAAATGAGACCACTTTATTCCCCTCTTGCAGGAAAGGAAGAGGTTTGATGCAGAGGTAAAGTAACTATTTATAGTTAAACACATAGCTGCAATGGTAAAAGAAACCAGGCTAAAACCTGGGTCTCTCTAATTGTTACTATAAATGTACAGTATGATATTTCTTTTGTGGCCATATTTTAACATATATTTAGTTTTTAGTAAGTTGTTATTCTGCTAGAACAGATAAATGTTCACAATAGAAACATCAAAGGGTACAAAAGATATAACATAAAAGGTATGGGCGTATCCATATCACCAGTGCCCACTAACCAGTGTTAATGGTTCCTGTATATTCTTGTAGAAAGAATTAAATATATTACAAATAGAAAGGCATAGAATTTTTTTGTAAAAGTAGAATCATCTTACATAAACAGTTTTATAACTTGCATTTTTCATTACAAATACATCTTGGCTGTAGTTTAGATATATATCCTAGAGAAGTTTCAGATTCATTAGCCAGTCAACTAGGTTGTGTCTAGTTTTTAGCTTTTATCAAAAAGCTACAACAGAAATCCTTGCACAAATATTTTCACATCCTATATCAATATCCTCAAAGGAAATAGTATTAGAAGTAGATTTTTCTTGGTGACAATTTTTTATGAGCATTTTAAATTTGTTGAACTGTCTGTTTTCACTCCTTCCTACAGCATATTAAGGCGCCTCTTTATCCATAACTTCATATCTGTGTTCAACTTAGCCAACCCGATGAGTATTCTATTTGTATATATTTAATCAGCAATAGAGATGATGATCATTTGATATATTTATTGAAAATTGAGAGATTTCAGTGATGCATACCCTTTGCTCACTTTAATGTTGGATACTTTTGTTCATTGATTGGTACTTATATAGATTAAAGTCATTTGTTTTGTCTCTCATAAGTGTTTCAGTCTATTTTTCAATATCAAAATCTGACTTTTTCATTTGACCATTGTTTTGTTCCTTTAAATGTTAGAAGTAAGAACTTGAATTGATGTTTTCCTCCCCCAGTTCCTGTGTCCCGCCCTGTGCTCACCCTCCGGGATCCCACCCAGGCTGCAGTGGGGGATGTGCTGGAGCTTCACTGCGAGGCCCAGAGGGGGTCTCCCCCCATCCGGTACCGGCTTTATCATGAGGACGTCATCCTGGGAAACAGCTCAGCCCCTGCTGGAGGAAGAGTGTCCTTCAACCTCTCCCTGACCACAGAACATTCTGGAAACTACTCCTGCGAGGCTGACAACGGCCTGGGGGCCCAGCGCAGTGAGGCGGTGACACTTTATGTCACAGGTAAGTTTCCTAGGCCCATACCCCAACGTAGCAATCCTCCGAGCAAGCTGCTAGTTTTTGTGCTACAGTCAGTGCCTCTCAGAGGTGGAGCGGGGAGTCCTCCAAGTCATGTTCTGAAGTGACAGTACTTACACAAGAGAGGGAGTCAGTGAGGATCCCTGCACTTGGGGTGCCTCCGTAGAAGCCTTTTTTCTCTTACTGCCTTGTGTCCACCTGACCCTCAACCCCGGCCTGAACTTGGGTGGGCTTCCTCACAAGGGGAGGAGTTATTTCTGGGGCTCACGCAGCCCCGTAGCCCACTAACCTTCTAGCCTCAGAAGTCCTGGCCCAGGGCGCATCCCCTCTCCTGGGCCCAAGTCAGGACCATGCAGGCTACAAGCCCCCCGCTCTGGCTCATGCTCAGGGTCTCCCCTCAGGGATGACAGGAAGCAGAGTTGGCGCAGTTGCCACAGGTGTCACCGGGGGGCTGCTCAGCATGATGGGCCTGGTTGTCGCACTGCTGTTGTATCACTGGATCCCGAGGAAAGCAGGTGGGTACAATCGGGCAGCCTCCACTGAGCCCGAGCTTTCCCCAGTGCCATCCCTCAGGCCAGCTTGCCTTCTGAAGGGCCCTCAGGCTCTCAGCACCTCCTGTGCCACAGTCTCTCACCTTGCCTTCGGGCTGCCCACAGTTTGCTTTTCCAAAGCACCAAGTTTCCACAACCACCCTATCAGGTGAGGAGACCTCAATGAGTTGCAACTAATCAGCATCATGACCTGCAGAGTACCGCCCTCTCTACCCTTCCAAGATCCCCCCAGGAACAGAAGAGGAGATTAAAACACAGGATGAATATGGAAGCCAAATGATACTTGAAAAATTGCTGATTTTTTTTCTCAAGTACAATACTTTTCATAGCTGATACAGTCTATTTTCCCACCTGCAACTACAACCATTGTTCTTTACAGACTCCAGTAAAAGGACTCTAGAGTGCCAAATTCTCCTCCACATTAGAATCACACACTTAGAAGTCAGGGTCAGTAATGTTTGCCCAACCCCACATCCATAGTGTATAGTATAAAAGCTGCAAGTTTTAGGGACAGTGACATCTGAACAGGTCTATGTGAGCTTGCTCCAAGTGCCCTGGGCTGGTTCCTCCTCCTGGATCCAATGCTCCAATGCTTTTTTTGCAGGAAGAAGGCCCGCCCCTGACGCTGCCAGGTAAAATTGCAGCTGCGTTCCTGCGTGGTACAATGAGTGCCCGTAAGACATAAAAACAGAACTGAATGTGGTGACTGCTGTGTGCTTGCAGTATGCATGCTGCTGTGTTTCCCTGAGATGACTTATGCCCATTTACTGTTTTCATCTCCCTTGGGATATCTCAAAGCAATTTCCAGAACCTCCTCGCCTACACCTTTCAACTATAGTAGCTAAGTTGAGTAACTTCCAAGTGCCACAGCATAGATGTGCCACAGCACTAGCATCTTAGCAGTTGTGTAGAGTTTGAGTATTACAGCAGAAGAGTTAGACCTGGAGTACTGTGGCAGGAGCACTACAGTTTGCAGGCCGTTGCTTCCACACACCAGGGCTGCAGGGCTGCAGTCTAGAGGATGCAGACTCAAGGTGTCAGCAGGCAGGCTGAGGGGCACCTGGGGTACTCAAGCTTTGCACGCTCTAAATAGGTTCTGCCATCTGCCCCATAAAGACAAGACTTATTCTTCGTGTATAAGACCTTCCATCGAAAGAAGTTTAATAGAGCTAGTGTGTAACAGAGAGGAGATACAAAAGGATAATAGTTTCCAATAAAAACACTCATTTACCCATCTCCTCATGAGTAAATATCCAACCAACCAGGGTTGGACCCAAAGCAGGGCTCAACATGGGGCCATTGAGCCCAAAGACTCATTACAAGTTTAGGCTCCTTCTGGTGGGACCCATTAGAAAGGGACAGAAGGGGCCAGGCAAGTCTTGGCAGAAAAGCAAAATATAAAAATACAAGGCAAGATAAAGACTGCCATGGCTGGCTTCCCCACAGGCCTCTCACCCACATCTCTGTCTCTTCCAACTGTCTTTTTCCATGTCCACCAACTCCCTGGAGCAAGTCTCTGCTCCACACTTCTCCGCATCTCCTCTCCAGGTCTTCTCTCGCAAGTCCTTAACTGCCCTTCACCACTCAGCTCCACCCTTCATGAGGTGGGGAAAGGAATCTGGGACCCCCTCATTTTAGATTACTCTTCTACAAAAGAATACTTGAACTGTATGGCCGATGAGCTGGAGGAGAGCTTACTTATATAGGCAAAGAGAATAGGCTAGATTGGCTTGATGCCGTTCTAGCTGGTCAAGAGGTGAATGGTCAAATTTTAATCCTGGGAGTAGTTTGCTGTGTGTTTTCAATTTCTTCTTAGCAGTGGATACATTTGACTCTCAATGGCCTTCCTGCACCGATTGGTTGTTATCCAGACTAGGGATGGCTCCATGCTGGTTTCTCTTTTTTATTTTATTTATAAATATACAGACCATCTTCCTGCTTCAAGTGTCAATTGTCTTTTGCTTCAGCTATATCCTTGTGTGATCGCGGTCTTGGATGTCTGAGTGATCCTTACTACCACTGAATTCATCCTTGCCCTAAGATGACCTCAGCCTAGTCAGCCTGGCAAGCTCTGGCTTTAGCCAATATAACCAACACCTATTATGTTGACATCCACAAAGATGAAGTCACACAACCTGCAACCAAAGAGGTCACTCTGTCAGCAGGAGGGGGTGCTTATGAAGATGGGGCCGCCATCTGTCTGAGAAGCCACACCACTGCCCACACTCTGTCCCTGGACAGGCCCATGAAAGCAGCCTCCCTGCTCTGTGGAGTGGCCCTCAGCCTTTCCCATTACACTACTGACCTCTCTGAGGTCCTGAACTCTCAGAGTGGAGGCTTAGAAGTCAGGTTTGACTCAGTTCTTTCCTTCTCTGGTTTGCATGGTTTGCATGGTTGAGTAGGTTACTTCACCTCTTGAAACCTCTGATTTTTTAATCTATAAAATAGAAACAATAATAGAATCAACCTAATATTGTATAAGCATTAGCACAGTGCTTAGTACATACCAAGCACCCATAAAGTCTGGAAACATAAACATAAATAATATGCATTTATTAGAACTTACACTATAATAACCTATAACAATGGGCCATTGTTATGTGCTCAACTAAGTTTCTGGGCTTGGCTGCCACCCTGTAGTAAAAATTCATGACTAGGGATCTAGCTCCTTTGCCAGGATTCCTGGAAAGTAGCAGTGTTTCCATTTCATCGTAGCTCTTCAGGCTCAGCGCCTCAAGAACCCACCTACTACAATGTCCCAGGCTGGCTAGAGCTGCAGCCAGTGTACAACAATGGTGAGCCCAGGGCCCCACCTTTGGACAGGAGCCCCAGGGAGGGGTGGGGCCTAAGCTGAGGGAGGGGCTGTGTACAGAGGGAGCCAGACCCCAGCACTAGGTGGGGGAGAAGTAACTGAGACTTCAGGCAAATACCTTAAAGTCGTCTCAAACTTCAACTCTTATTCCTAGTAAATCCAAAAAGCAGCGATGTGATATACACAGAAGTCTGGACAAAAAAGAAAAGCAAACCTGCAGGTAAGACATGAGGACCTGGGATTTTGACAGTGACCCTCTGCATGGCTCAGGCTCTGTCCCCATGAGTGAGTGGAGGCCAACCTGGCTCTGGCTGCGTCACTGGGTTCTAACCCACCTACAACACCAGGTTGGGGTGGGGGAGGGGGGTTACACACTCTCTCTAGGTAGTGTTGTTTCTCTGTTCTCCACACATGGTCTTGGTTTGCCTTGAGTAACAAAAACCCTGGGGTGGTCACAACCTCTCCGTTTATAAAGTGGGGCAGGACTTTCACTCCCTACCGCCTGCACTAGTTATGACTAATGACCACAAAGTTGGCAGGAGCAGACAGTACAAATGTACCATGGCCCTGTGCCATATTCACGATGCCCAACAGGTCTCAGCGGGTGGCCTTCCTTCCCGGAGGCTCGAGAAGAGACCATGCTTCCTTCCTTTTCCAGCTTCTAAAGGACACCCCTTTCTGTTCTTCCTGACACCTTACCTCCATCTTCAAAGCCAGCACTGTTGCATCTCTCTAACCATTCTTCCAAATCTAGGTCCCCACTCCCAAAGCTGGGGAGAGATCCCGGATTTTAAAGTTCTCCTTAAAATTCCACCTGGATAACCCAGTTTATCTCCTCATTTCAAGGTCCTTAATCCTAATCACAACTGCAAGGTTCCTTATTGATAGTCCCTGTAACATAGACACAGGGTCCTAAGAATAAATGCAGACTTCAGGGGGCAAAGCATTATTCTGTCTACCACACAGTCTCAGAAGGGTATTCTGAGGATCAAATAAGAGAATGGAAGCAGACATGTTACTGCAGCAGTGGGAGGTAAGCAGCTTTGATAGTGACTACATGCTGGCTCTTCAGCCAAGTAGTTGGAGGTGGTTGAAGGTAGACAGTCTGCAATGAGGGATCCCAGCCTGGCTTCCTCTCCTTCAGAGCAGGAAACAAGGAATAACCCTATGGGGAAGACATGAGTTTCTATCCTTGCTCTGTAGAAAGTGCTGTGTGATTTTAGCCATTCTGCTTCCCTCTCTGGTTTTCTGATCCATCTTGCATTAAGTCAGCTGTGTGTGCCACATTTTGGCCAGTGGCCCACCTCTTACATATACAAACTCATTGTCACTGACAGCCCCTTAGGGTTAGTATTAGTATTACCCCCATTTTACAGATACGGAACTGGAAGCAGAGAGCTTTTCTGTGACTGGCCTGAGGTCACACAGCCTATAAATCACAGAACAGACTGTGCCTAGAATACAGGCTGTGGACCAAGCTCTGCTTCTCAGGGCAGTTCCAAGGAGCCTGGATTCTCATTCCAAGCCAAGGATTCTCATTCCAAATCTGAGGAATGTCATATTTTACTCAGTTTTAAGACAATGTAACAACAACAATAATAATTTTAACACCACATCAGCAATGCTGTCAGTAAATAAATATTGTAAATTATGCACCTATATTTATTATGCTTACTTAAATTTATTTATAACACTCAGAAGTAGGCATGTCACATAGGGTCTGCTCAACATAGAAGTCAGACATCACGTCGTGCTTGACACACATGCACACACATGCTCATATAACTTACAGCACCCCTGAAGGTAGATGATGCCACTACCTGCCTCACACAGATGACAAGCAAAGCAAGAGGTGTGGAATGACTTGCCTAAGAGGCCAGAGTGGCACCGCTGCCCAGGACTCAGTCTGCGGTGGTCCGCCTTCACACCTGCCCTGCCTCCGCCCCATACCAGGCTGCCTCTCCAGAAGACAGGCCCTGAATCTATGCTCAAAGCACCAAGAAAAGAGCAAGATGCCTTTCTTCCCAGAGCTTCCTTGGCAGCCCAGCGCAGGGAGCAAAGTACAAGTGATGTTTAAAATAGAGTTGCTCAAAGCTGTGAGGCTGAAAAGCTTAGAAAAAGCAAATACCAGTACTGGGGGAGGCTCAAAAAAAGGGGGGCTTCAAACAAGCAAAGAGGGTTCCAGGAGACAGCTATGGAGGGCTGACAAGTGGGAGTGTAGATAGATCTCTGGGGGTCCTTCCAAGGCTGATCATTTCCTTCCTCTCCACAGGAGCCTCGGCACCAGGACTTCACAAGAACACGGTGAGTTCTAAGACCTGCTCGCCCTGCTCGCGGGTCTCCGCTGCTCCCCCACCCCTCCAGCGTCACCTGTCCTATCTGCTCTTTCCCCCAGGGTTCCTCTGTCATCTACTCCCAGGTGAAGGTGGCTTCAGTCCCAGGCGCTGAACCCCAGCTCTTGGCTTCCTCAGCTCCTCAGGGATGAGTCCGCACATCCATCCCCCTGACTGCAGTCTCAGCCTGGGTACCTCAAAGCCGTCCTTGGGGTCAGAGGGCATTGGAGTAGGAAGATTTGAACTGCTCCGGCCACATCCCTTAGCCGCTGTGACTCAGTGTACCTGGCCGCAGGGCCCCGCGTGACACCCGCCAGGTTCCAGCCTGGGGCACACTCCCGCGGGGTTCTCCCAACCCAGGGCCCACTGTGTCCCTGCCTCCTTACAGGGCTTCAGCTTTGGCCACTCTTCTTGAGCCCCACTCCCGGCCCCGCCCCCCATTCCCCGCAGGCGCAGGACGCTCCGAGCGCCGGTTATGGACTTCCGGTGGGGGGCTCCACCTCACACTCCCCGGCTGTGTGGAGCACCCAGGCCTGCACCTGACGCCGGGATAACGTCTCTCCTGCCCACGTGACAGTATTTACCTGTTTAAATAAGTGATTCACACCGGGGTACCAAATCCTTCTTGCACTATCAGAAGTAACCAGCAATGTCACGGACAGAACAACCAGAGGCACAGACTGAGTGCAAATTGAAGTACAGGAGGTGCTGTCTGACTGAGTGAGTGAGTGAGTGAATGAATGAATACTATATATGGTTGATTGTGAATCTTTCCTACCCTTAAACTGGTGTATGATCCAGTGTGCTACCTAGGAAACTCCGAAATTATTATTCTCTCCTCCCTGAGTCAGAAATAAATTAAGAGGAGTTTGAGTGAGAAATGTTCTGTTCAGTGAGCAAGAAGGCGTCTCAGACTTTAATGTACTTAAGCATCATGTGTGCATACTGTCAAATGAAGATTCTGACTCAGTGGATCCAGGAGAAGACTAAGACCCTGTACATCTACCAAAGCCCACAGGCTGCTGAGCCTCAGGCCCTGGCGGTCTTGGTGAAGAAGACCAAGCTTGTGGAAGCTCCGCTGCCCATAGCCTAAACTGTGGGTCACCCACACAGCCACACTGCATCCCTGCCTCACTCCTGCTAGCACGGCCAGCTGCGGATCTGAGAGCACCCCTCTGCCACATGCTGGGTTTCCCCAGCCAGAATGTGTAGGCAAACAAGCTGCCACCATCTTTGTTTTTCAGGCTCACACTGTAGATGAAAAGAAGAATGAACACCCTATGAATAAATACACCCCTTGGCATTCTCCAGTCAAAGTCATTCCATCCTGCCTCTCCACTATGGGTGCTTTTCCACTTTTGTGGTGCCCATTGCACCTTATCTTAACCTTCACCCACTCCCCTATTGCCCTGGCATAAAATCCTCTATAGGGCTTTCAACATCCTCCTGCACCCAAAGACACCACCTGTTCTTCCCACTTCTCCCACCTTGCTGCCCTGTACACCCTGTACCCAGTCACAGGGCAATCAATCTCCACTCCCTGACACATCTTCTTTCTCCTCCTCAAAGACTTCTCCCTGTTTCCACCTACTGGAATCCTGTTCATTCTCTGAGCCTCAAATCAAGTATCAGTCCTGCCAGAATTAGCCTGTGTCTCCTTTGGGCTCCATAGCACTCTTCACATGAAGTAAGACTTGGGAATACCAATGGCCGATGTTCAGACCAACTCCCTAACTTGGTAGTTAGAAATTGAGAACCAGAAATGGCCAGCAAGCCATATGAAGGACAAGCAGCAGTTAGTGGCAAAGCCTAAGCGGCATGGACCCCTGGACTCCCTCCATCCAGGACAATGTTCTTTCCTTTGCATCACTCCTCTGTCACAGAGACCTACACATTGTATCTTGTTTCCTCAAGGTGGAGAGTTCCTGAAAGCAAAACTGAAGTCTAAATTAGTTATATATTTAGAGCCCAACATGGTGCCTGGAATTCAACTGGTGCTCAGTAAATGGTTGTCGGAGAGAATGCCTGTTGAATAAACATTGCCTACACAAATTCATCTATATCTTGACCTGTTTCTCTTAATCCAGGAAAGTGCAATATATGTTATTGGATTTTGAATATAATAAAATCAGTTCTAAAAAGCCTACCCGGCAGTTTGAGGTGAATGTTATAGCTTGTTCAAATCTGCCTGACCAGCAAACACAGTGTGAAGCCAAATCAGTTGTCCCCACAGTTTGCTTCCCCTCCTGTGTACATCTCTCCCTCCCTCCTACCCTCCTCCTTCTCTTCCTCCCGCTCTTTTTTCTATCTTTTCTATCATTCTTCCCTCTTTCCCTCCCTCCCTCCATTCCCTTTTTCTTTCTTTCTCCCTTTTGTTACTTGAAAGTAACACCCACTCCAATACAAACTTTGTTTCTTACATGCCTTACACTACGTCTTCTTTCAGACTCCAGTGTCACTGCCCTATCCTCACCCACCACCAGGTATTTTCTCTAGTGCATGTCTAGTTTCTTGACCTCCAGATTCTCTCCTTGCACAGCCATCCCCAACTAGTTCCTAGTATGATCTTTCCAAAACCCAACCCTATCCATTCCTCTGCTGAAATCAATTATCCAGAGTTCAAGTTCTATCATGGACATGATTTGGTTCCATCTTTCATCGTCTAGCAGCCTCATCACCTAGTATCCTTCAGTTGACAAGAACACGTGCTTCTGTAGCGCAAACCTCTTCATTCCTGTACATACTATCTCCTTTCAAGCAGCCACAGCTTTGCACATGCTGTGCCTTTTCCTAGTGATTTCCCCTCACCCCACCTGTCAAAGCCTAATTGAAGGCCTCCATTCAATGAGGCCTTGTTATCCCCTCTGATTTCCATTAAACCTTTTGCATCTGTATTCTTAAGAGGACTTGTAATCCTCATAAGAATGTGTGTGTGTGTGTGTGTGTGTGTGTGTGTGTGTGTTTTCAGGTATTGTGTAAGTGCTTCTTTCCCTGGACTACTTAAAGCCTCCTTTACAATAAGTAGTTGTAGTCTGAAGCCCTCCCTCCATCACACAACACCCCCAACACACAGCACATGGCCTGGCAGATCACAGGAGCACAACTGATACTGAGTAAATGGATGTGCTACTAAATTGAATGGGACTGCTCCTGTTTTCCCAGAATAGCACCTACCTTTGCGAAGCTGAGCTGCACTGTTGCTAATTCCTCCAGGTTCTGAGAAAGAGACTCTATGCACATCTGCAGGGATTGAGTAAGGAGTGGCCACACCTCCCCGAGCTCTTGCAGGCTCTTCACATGCCTCATCAGCTGATGTCCACAGCTCAGGGATGTGGGGGCAGGGTGACTGGAGAGGACACAGCGAAGCAGGGAGGGCACGGGCACCTGTGACCCCCAACCCCAGCCAGGGAAGGGCTCCAGAGAACTGCTCCTGTTACAGGGCACCCCAGTGTGAGCTAGGCTGCCTGTCTGTGGGTCCTCACTCATGCGCTTAAAATTCAATTGTACTGTAGGCACACACAAAAACGGTCAATAATGGGTTTATTTACAAAGGGGAAAGGAAAGGGTACAATCCAGGAAAGAGAGAGAGACACAGGTTAACTAAAACATCCTACCAGCTCCCCTGACTTGAAACTCCAATACACTGATAGTTCATCAAGAGCCAAACGACCTGCTATCAGCCTCTCAGTCCAGAGAGCTCCCTGTGGTCCAGAGAGCCATGCGGTCCAGAGAGACTGAGTCACATGGTCCAGAGAGAGCATCCCACATCGCTCCCTGATGTCCCCCCAAAAGTCCCAGAGTGCCTGTTTAGCTCCGCCCTTGGGTCCTCGCAGTTCTCTCCTTAGTACTGCTGGGAGTTGTAGTTCACTGGAGTACGGGGTGGAATCCACAAAGCTGGAGCAGGGGGTGGAGTCCACAAAACTGCAGAGTTCCTTTAGGACATCCTTCCCCCTAACACTCCCACCTCAGGAAATTTGTTGGGCCTCAGGAGCTCATGTCCCTGAAGAACAGCATTTTAAGAAATGTTGATCTGAAGGCCTTCAGTTTGGGGGTGTTAGAGAACAATGTGTTCTCACCACTCCGCCCCGCCCCCTCCTGGGATCAGACCGACTAGCATATCTCCCTGGCCTCGTGTGCCTCTTTCACTTGCCAGAGGAAAGGCCAATCTTAATCTCTCTGGTGCATTCCCAGGAGAGTACGGGCAGCCGGGCAGCATGGTCCCAATCCTCTGTTTTCCTTTCTTGTGTCCAAGAGCAGCCCACTGATGCCCATGCTCTACTCTGTCCTGAGTTTTCAAAGGACTTGCCCAGCAGAGGGCACTTGAGCAGAGCTCTATGTGTACAACTCAAAGACCAGTATTGGCACACAAAGCTTGGAAAGTGAAGAGAACTAGAAGGTACAAAATGGTACAAAGGTACAAGCCGAAGGCCTCTGCTCTGGTCAGCACAGATGATGAAACGACCACCAGGCAGCTGTGTGGGTTTCTGTTGTGCTCTGGAATTTCTTGGGAGTCAACAGTCTGTTTGGGCTCAGTTAGTTGGGTGGGGACTCTGAGCCTTAGAGTGTTTAGTGGCAGGTCACTAGAGCTTGGACAAGGCTTGAGAGGGAGCTCCAGGGCTGGGGGTGCACACACTGCCTGCTTTTCAGGGCTGAGCAGGCACCGGAGCCCTTCTGATTGAGTGGACTGGGACTCATCTTGTGCTGCTCCTGTAGATGTGCACTTTGGCGGCTGCCTTGGCCAGCCAGCGGTCCCAGCTACTCTCAACACCCAGAGCCCACAAGAGAGTACCTCAGCACATGCACCGTGCACCTTCCACCTCCACACTGGGGTCCCCATCGGGATGAGGTGCAGGTGTGCAGGGAAGTTGATCTTGACACTGGGCTCCTGGGCCGGTGGGTTCATTTGCTCTTTTTCACACTTACATTAGCAACCCCCGCCCCTGCTGCCCTCTTCAGATGTGCAGATGCTGCATATGGTTTCCGTGAGGACAACCTGAGAGAACAGCTAACCTGTTGCAAAGCTGTGGCCAAGCTGGGAGCACACGCCCCTAAAAGAGCTGTCCTCTTCCAAACTCTCTCCATGCCCTTCACCTCTGTGATTCTGTTTGTCCATGATGTACGGGAGCATAAGCTTCTGCTTCAGCCTATTTTGTAGGAACTAGAGTAAAAACAGCAGGTTCCAGGCCTCAAGCCACAGAATTTCAGCCATATGCTGGCATGTGGGGTCTGTGCTGGGGCAAGTGGCTCAATGAGCGTGAGGGCAGAGGCCCCAGTGTGGGGCAGGGGTGGCCAGAGGCCTTGAAAATATGCCTAATTTTGCTGCAACAGAGGTAGCTTTTCTGAAAAGCTCTGGCTGCAGCAAAGATTCCACTGTAAAAAAAAATCTTTACGAAAGGCTTTTGAAGTTTGATGTACCAGGAGTGAGGACAATATATTCTGCTCTCAATGCAAGGCAGCTGGCATGTACGTGTACCGGTGGGGTCTTTCAAGCTGCTAGGTGTCAGGTCTTTGCTACGCAGGCCGAGCTGCACTTGCCTACCCAACCTCCACTGGGCCTTTCAAAAAGAAGCCCCAGCACCAGAGACAGGCGCCAGGGGGATTCCTGTAGCCTTGAGGTGGACAAGCAACCGTCACGATGGCAGAACCAGGCAGAACACTGACTTGGAGGTGGGCAAAGCTAGCTGCTAACCGAGAGATGACAACAGCTCAGGACAAAAGGAAAACAGCCGCCTGGAGCCTGTCTCGGGGCTACTTTACCAAACAAAGTTCATAACCAGTGCCACTCTGAGAAACGCATCTTTAAGCTCAAAATTGGAAATTTAGAATTCCTCAGTGGGAAACCAGACGCCTTCTAAGTGGATTCCACTTTCTGCTGGATGATAAATGCACACTGGTAAAGCAAGCTTCTTGCTGGGAGATTTATTCCACTTGAGTTAAAATTATAGTCTCCAGTTATAAAGATTGATGTTATTCAGGCAAGACTAACACTACAAAAACCTTTTCCATCTACCCTCCAAGACTAACTCTCTTTGGTAATGCTCAATGCTGGGCTTTGGGAACATAATTTTGCTGGGTAACTGTTGTGGAGCTGCAGGTTGGCTTCTTTCTGGAATCAGCATGCCCAGGACCAGTGCGGACTTGCACAGACTCTGAGATAGTTTGTGAGTGTCTTGGCCTGCTCTGCCAACTCTAACTCTGCCACAGGTTGGGTGGTTAATAACAATTGCAATTTGTTTTTTATAGTTCTATAAACTGGGGATCAAAGTACTGGCAGATTTGGCACCTGATGAGAACCTGCCTGCCCTTGTGTGGTGGAAGGGGCAGGGAGTTCTCTGAGGGGGTCTCGTATAAGGGCACTAATCCCCTTCATGAGGGCTCTGTCCACATGACCTAACCCCCTCCCAAAGGCTCCACTTCCCGATACCACCACACTCTGGGATTAGGATTCAGCATACTACCTGGGGGCACACGAACATTCAGTCACTGGTAAGACACATCAGCTACTAATTAACCCTGGGAATATTTGAGCATGATAAAGAATGTTAATAGCAATTATAATACATTAAATCATTAATGATGTCATGTGACATTTGTTCTAAAATAAAAGCAGTGAAAGCTCTTCTTCACAGAATAGAGCAGGTAAAGAGTGTGGAAGGGAGGGCTGGCATTAGTAAATCACCACTTTGTAACCCAGCGACAAGGCCCCCTCCCCTACTTGGGTGTTAACTTCCGGGAAGATGAGCTGCTGGGTAGCAGAGGTGCACATGGTGCAATCAATGCGTGGCCACCCCAGTGCCTATCGAAGGGGGACATTCTCCTTCACAGCGGGGAGACGTGGCAGTGCCAGGCTCAGTGAGGTGGCCAAGCGGAGCATCACTGGCAGTCGGGGACACTGTCCTCGTGCTCAGATATGGTGCAGTAGGGAGTCCAATCTCATGTACGGGGTCCCGCTGGACACTAACTCAGAGCCCGCAGGGGGAGACAGACAGTCCAGCACGTGGGCCACTGTAACCGGGCTCCTGTAAGCGGTCAGTGTCACTACAGGTGAATGGACCAGGCAGCAAGGCCAAAGGACAGAGAGACACACAGCCAGGTAGGGGCCTGGCTAAGATTCCAGACCAAAAAATAAATAAAAATATACACCTGCTCATTGGCACCACTGCTGCGGGCTCAGACTTGGCCGCTGTGCTGCACTCTGGCTCCCTGCTTGGAGGTGCAGATGAGTGTGGGGCCAGAGACGTGGCGCAGCACAGTCAGAGCGGGTGAGGCCAGTCATCAAGCCAGAAGGGAGTCTGAGGGCTGGGTGGGGCAGCAGGGTGGGAGGCAGCCCCGAGTTCCACACTTCCTGAACACTCATATATCTCCTGCCAGGAAACGTGGAGTGGCGGGATCGCACGCTGGGCTCCTTCCCAGGGGCGTGTTATTTATTCAAAGTTCCTCCTGACCCGGAGCTCTTGAGTCAATAAAGACGGCAGAGAGTGTACATAGGGAAATCACCCCTTTGCTTTTGTTTCGTCCAGACCTCAAAGGTCTTCACCTCTCCCACCTAAATATCCTGTAAAAAAGGGTACTAAAATTACTTCCTATCCTCTTCTTCAGGTAGGTGTATCTTGGTGGCAATTAAGCAGCTGTTGCACTGTAATGATGGAGTGGGGACCCAGAAAGGCAAACACAGCAAACAAACCCTGAGCTACACAGGTCGCTCACCACCTGCCACCCTGCGCCTGCGATGTTTGCACCACTTTATCCTGGAGACATAAACCCTTAAGCAGCTGCTGTTGTTTTCATGTTTTGCAAATGAGGTCACTGAGCTTGGAGAAGGGGTGGGGTGGGCCGTGAGTGAGGCTTCCCGCAGGAGCCAGGCTTGACTGCTAGTCGCACTTGCTTCCCACTCTTCCACAAATAGAGGTCCACCCTCCTGGTCGTCTTGCTAGAACAGCAGTTAGCCCAGCCGAGGGGCTAGCCATGGCAGCTGTTCTGAAGGCCCAGTGGGGTGTCCCACTCTTTGGAGAAGGCTTGCTCCTCTGGGCTGCGGGCTCGCAGTTGTCCTGGGTGAGGCGAGGGGAGGACAGCAAGGTCCCCGGGCTCAGGCCTTGGCGGGAATAGATGCACCAGGGGAGCTGTGTGAATAGTGGCTTAGCCCCAATAAATGGGAAAGGGGACGGGGTGCTCGGGAATTCTGGTGTTCTCTGGCTATGGTTGGTCTTCCTAAGCTTACCCATTAAGGCTGCAGTCCAGCAGGCCTGGTGTAGAGAGGATCATTGACCCTGTCCCCAGCTATGGGGACCATCCAAATCTCGGCCTCTGCAGAGCCCCCTGGAGCCCTGCTGGGCACTTGAGCTTTCATCCTTTGTGAGCTCTGAAGTAGGTTGCCACAGCAAGCTGATCACAATCTATTCCCTCAACCTGTATGAAGGCAGAATTTCCTCTCTGCTCTGTCACCCGTCCCATTTTCTCATTCGAATTTTCTAGCAATCAGAGACTCCACAGTGAGATCGGGAGATATCAAGTCCCCCAACTGATAGATGCCAGCTCAGGAATGCTGCCTTTGGACATGCAGTCCCCCCAATTAGGAAAGCCTCAAAATGAAAACAGTTCAAAAATTGAACTCCCAAGGAAATTAAGCAAAATAATTAAAATGGAGTCAAACTATTGCCATTGCCATTGTCCTCGGTGTCTGGTTTGGCCCACCCCTTGACCAGGGAGCCGAGCAGGGTGTTCTCTCCTGGAGTGGGCATGGGGGAGGGGCTCACAGGACCGCGTGAAGCTCCACCAGCCCCCCACGGAACTACCACACCAAGCGTGGGGTCATCCATCCGTCCCCCACACAATGCCTCGCCTTAAAATTTTTCAGATCTTGACATTCGGTCAAAATAGGAGCTGTGTGGGGCCCATTCCCTCCACCTCCCTGGCTTCCCCTCTGCTTCCTTTTGTCTGTATTACCTTCTCTACAAGGACAGCTGCCTCATCCATCTCTTTACAAGCTCTCAGCTGCTTACTTTGGAAATCAGCTCTAACATTCCTGCTCTGCACTAGCTTCACTCCTCACCCTTCCGTCAGTGGGCTGACCGCCACCGCTGTCTTCACTACCTTCCCTTGTGGGTGCTCTGCCTGCTGGACACCACAGCACAGCCGTGGGCGCAGTAAGTGGACAATGCCATATTGTGTCTGACATGAAAGCTGGCTGATTTGGCTGTTGACTCTTATGGTAGGAAAGGCCAGAGCCTCTGCGGCACTGGGCAACAGAAACATGTCCTCCTGGGTACCCTCTCCCTGCTGGAAATTGCTGGCTTCTCGTGCTTTTGTGGATTCTTCTTTAAAAAAAAAAAAAAGATTTATTTTATTCATTTATGAACACAAGGACTAAGGTGTAGACTAGAGGTATGGGAAGGGGTGAGAGGACTCACCAGAGACAGAGTGGGGATCAGAACAGATCTAATGAAACACACTGCTGAAGGGAGCAGCGGGTGGTCAGGAGAGGTCTGCTGCACCTGTGGGTCAGCTCTCTGGCCGGGGATCAGTGGCTGCCCATTGCTTGATAGCACTGACTTGAACCCCTGTGCCACCTGGGAGGCTCCTTATGGATCCTTCTTTGGGTCCAAGTTCTCAGTGAAGCCGAAACAGGGACTGACTGGCTCAGGAAAGCACCCAAGATCCCCCATCACAGGCTGTCCCCTCCCTGAGAGTGTGAAGCCACCTTTCCCGGCTCTGCAGCACATAGCAGCCTCCCGTCATTACGCCTGGGCACATTTGTGCTGAACAAATATATCATTGTTGGCTGGTCACAGAGGAGTTGGCATTTTGACAGGGCTGAGCGTCAGGGGCTCCCATGAAAAGGGAGAGTAAGTGGGGTGCCATGGTAGTGTGAAACAATCCCCCCACCTGCTTCTCAGCCACAACCCCTCCTTCGACACCATTACGGATGCTTGGGTGGCCCCTTACTCTTTCAAATGGCTCAAGTTCCTTGGAATAAGGGATCTCCCAGGGGGTTTGTTGTTGTTCTTAACCTTGAGGCTGGTGCATCTGGGGATAGCTGTCTGCTCCCAGGCGAGTCCTCAGTGTTATCCTGAAAGGAAGAGGCCCCTCGGGCGTCTGGACTCCACCACGTGCTATGCCCCCTGTGCGTGCAGCCCCCCAGCCTCTCCCTGGCTGCCC